ACATGGGCTAACCAGGCAGGCTGGCGTGGCTAGGAATCGGGGTGAGCCCCCTCCTCTGCCCCCGCAAACACCGGCTCACCCCCCTGGTGCTCCCCACAGCCCTGATGCCCGCTCGGGGACACAGTGACATATCAAAAGCAGGGTGCCCTGCCCGGCCGCCGTGCAAGATGCACACTAATGACTGTGGTGAGAGCGACCTCCGCTGTAACCCCTCCAGGCTTAGCCCCGACCTTCAAGAGATGCTTTGGTCCTTGCAGGGTCAAGTTCATCCTCAATGCGATCTGGCGAGAGGGAAATCGAAGGGGAGAAGGTGAGGGGAAGGGATGGGCGCTGCCTGCAGCGGGATTACCCTGCTTAGGAAGGAGAAATCCAACGCGGCGTCCGGACGCTGCCACCGAAGGGGTTGGCGAGGGACTTCGGCGCGTGCCGGTTCCCATGCGCAGTACCCGCCCCTGGCCAAATTCTCCGTGCCAAAGCTGCCACCGCAGCCCCCAAGCCTGGCATCACCCGGTGAGCCTAACAGTTACACCGGCGGGGACCTGCCTGCCCGGGGGGCTCCACACCACGATGCCGGGGGCTTATTGACGGCATGGCTTTTAGCCCCCAGCAACCTCCAGGCTCAGCCACACGGGTCCCTGTGCACGGGCGGGTGCCAGCCCTCCCCGGCAGGGACACGCATCCCTCAGCCCGTGCCAGCCATATTCCCCCAAGGCTGGGGAAGAGATGCTGGCCCCCAGGCTGCTGCTGCCCTCAGCACGATTTAAATGACTCGTTTTCCGGGCAATTAGCACTGGTTAATTAGAGAAGCTGAGCAGGGCGGAGCTCCTGGCTTGTTCCCAGCCCTGGGTCCCTGCCCTGGGGCTCTGCGTGGGGTCCCCATGCCGGCAGCATCAGCTCCCCAGTTGGGATGTTGGGTATGGGGATGCCATGGGGTGGGTGGCCCTGAGCACAGGGGCACCGCGAGGCTGGAGGGGACACGGGGAGCTGTGTGGCCGCGGCGTGCAGGGGGACACAGCCCCGAGAACAGGTGACAAATGCGGCGCTCGCCATAAATCTCTTTGCCGGCGTGGAGCGTGCGAGACGGCGGCGGTGGGAACTCAGCTCCCCGCACCGGGGGGGGGTCCACATCCCTGCCCGGGAGTCCCTGCAGCGGCATGCTCCCCCCCCCCTCAAATCACACCTGCCCTTCGCTGGTCCTGCCTCATCCCAAGAGCACAGCGAGGGGCTGCTCCATGAGCTGGAGACCCCGTGTCCACCCTTGGAGGACATAAAGGGCTTGAAGCGCCATGGGGGCACCGGGGCTCAGGTCTCCCCACCCCTCGCACCTGCCGGCGGAGCAGGGGATGGCTGCGGATGCTGGGGAAGGGGGCGGCACGGCAGCTCTTTCATCAGTATTCAATGCCGCTTGACGGGCTATAATTCCACTTTTACAGCCAGTTATTAATGAGGGGATTACCTGCCTCGTTAGCGCCGCAGCTCTTCAGTGTGGGATTTGCGTGGCGCTGCGTGGGCAGCAGCCGGCCGCGCTGGGGGAGAGGGTCCCCATGCCAGGGGGAGAGGGTCCCTGCGTGCAGGGAGAGGGTCCCCGTGCCAGGTGCCCTCCTGCGAGCATGCACCTTGGCATGGAGGATCCATGCGCTCGGCCAAGCAGGGCACCCCCCCACACCCTTCGAAGCCCCCCCCCGGGGTGCTTGGGAGCGGGGGCTGGTGGCGGCGATGGCAGCGTGCAGCCGCGTGCCCATCTCCCCTCAGCCGCCGCTCCTGCAGGCGCGGGATTAGCTGCCTCCACACCATGAGCGAGCTCCGGCCTTTGTGGCTGCGGAGGAAACACTTCAAAACCCGACCCAAGCACAAGTGAGAGGCGCAGAAATCCAAGAAGGATTATTCTTCTCTAAGCAGCGTGTAAGCCGGAGATCCTGTAAGATCGGCCCAGCGGAGGCGAGGCGCTCGCGGCGAGAACTGCTGATGCCAATGGATTCGACACGCGGCTGAGCCCCGGCACCGGCGGCGGGGAGGCAGCCCTGCGCTGGGGTGGCAGTGGGTGCTGGTGCCGTGGCAGAGCTGGGCACCCCTGTGCAGGCAGCCCAGCCCGGGGACACCTTGAGGTGCCCCAGCCTGCTCCCATCTCCTCCGGTGGCTTTGGGCATCTCGGTGGCCCTGTGCATCCCGGTGGCTTTGGGCATCTTGGTGGCTTTGGGCATCCCGGTGGCTTTGGGCATCTCGGTGGCCCTGTGCATCCCGGTGGCTTTGGGCATCTTGGTGGCTTTGGGCATCCCGGTGGCTTTGGGCATCTCGGTGGCCCTGTGCATCCCGGTGGCTTTGGGCATCTTGGTGGCTTTGGGCATCCCGGTGGCTTTGGGCATATCCCGGTGGCTTTGGGCATCTTGGTGGCTTTGGGCATCCCGGTGGCTTTGGGCATCTCGGTGGCCCTGTGCATCCCGGTGGCTTTGGGCATCTTGGTGGCTTTGGGCATCCCGGTGGCTTTGGGCATCTCGGTGGCCCTGTGCATCCCGGTGGCTTTGGGCATCTTGGTGGCTTTGGGCATCCCGGTGGCTTTGGGCATCTCGGTGGCCCTGTGCATCCCGGTGGCTTTGGGCATCTTGGTGGCTTTGGGCATCCCGGTGGCTTTGGGCATCTCGGTGGCCCTGTGCATCCCGGTGGCTTTGTGCACCTCGGTGGCTTTGAACATCTTGGTGGCTTTGCATATCTCAGTGGTTTTGCACATCTCAGTTGCTTTGTGCATCTTGGTGGCCCTGTGCACACTCAGCTCTCCAGGACAGACATCGCTCGAGTCCGGCACAGCGAGACCCTCACGCCTAAGGGCAGCTACACCCCCTTCCCCCCCAGATCGCCTTCCCCGTGTGGCAGGGACACCCTGTCTCCCTGTGCCCGTCCCGGCACTCAGACTCGACCAACAGCTCCCCCATCGCCCCCAACTCCCCACCACGGACCTGCGCCAAAGCCCACAGCCCCGGAGCAGCACTTCCCGCCCTGGCATGCGGCAGCGCTGGGAGGCCAAAGCACCCACGAGGGGCACCCAGGCAAGGGTTTCAGCTTCTGGCCACTCTCCCAAGCGAAAGGCTCCTGCACAGGATAGGGGGGCTGGAAATCTCTTCCATGGAGCGGCAAGTGGCCAAGGACTTTGGACGAGTGGTGGGCACAAGCTGACAGCATCCGCCGGCACCAGGGCTGGGGCCGACCTCTCCGCAGGTACCACAGTGAGGACAGTCCCAGCCAGGCTCTCAGGGCCATATTTTTGGGTGCAGAGCCCAAAAATGCCCAGCTTGGGGTGGGTATGGCGTCTTCCCTGCAGCTGCTCGGTATTCCAGCCCCATCTCCCCAAGCATCCTCCTACCCGCCCTGGCCCAGCGGCGTGACCCATCGATGCGAAGTACCCCGGAGGAGAAATCAAAGCTGCGCGGAGCCCCCCCCGCCAGCCCCAGCCGCCTGCTGCGCTCTCTGGAACTGGCGATCAAAGCTTCTCCCCGCAGCCGGCATGCCACAGCTCCACGCAGTGAAACTTCTCCCCGTGCCAAGCCGCCTGCCACCGCCGCTGCCGAGCAGGTGCCCAGCGTGCCAGCCCGCGTCGCTCGCCGCCTCGCCAAACCGGCAGCGGAAACGCGTGCGTGCCCGGGGAGGAGGGAGCGGGAGAAGGTGCCAAGCGAGCGGCGCTTCCCCACCACCACATTTTGCCGCGAGCCGTCGCCGCGAGCCGCTGAGCCGGGGTGGGACGTGACGCTGAGCCCGAATGGGGATGATGGTGCTGGGGAGGGGATGGGGCAACGCTGCGGAGCCGGGGACAGCAGGGGGCCTGATCCTGCCCTGCAATGGCATCAGAGCATCTCCTTGTGCCGCAGGAGGGCCGTGCCGTGGGGGAGGGCCGCGGGACAGGGAGCGAGGCGGCTGCGTTGCCACGCCGGGGCTTCCCAGATGCTGTTTGCCTGGTGCCAGGCCGTTAATTCCTCCTCTTATCCTCCCACTCATTTGCTAGATATTTCCCAAACCTCTTATTTTTAGGTTGCAGCTGAAAAGCTGTGAATTTGCAGCTTTCGCTCCTGTGCAGGATCCCGGGCGCAACGCGGGCGGGAGCAGGGCAGGACCACGGTGGGGCTGCCCAGCAGGCAGAGCAGGCAGGCAAAACTCGTGCCCCCAGTGCAGGCAGAGGGAGAGGAGCCGGCCACGGGGGGGCTTGCCAGGATGCAAAACCTCCAAGGGGTGACGAGGCCTCGCCGTCATCCCTGGAAACAACCCGCCGGGCGTTTTGAGGCTGCTTTGAGCCAAGCTTGGCATGCCACGCGGCAGAGCCGGGCGGCCGCAGAGCCGGCAAGCTGGAGGGCTGAGACAGCTGGGGCCGGTGGTGCCACCCACCCGGGGGCTGTCAGGGGCTGCGTGGGCACAAGCTGCTCGGCGGGGGACATCGGGAGCCCTGCGGCCGTCCCGCTGCCCTGGCAGGTTCCTGGCCAGCGTCCCACTGCCGGATGAGCCTCGGGGAAGAGGACCGGTGCAGCGCCACAACTCAGCACCCCAGGCGTGCCCAGGGTGAGAGGGAAGGGAACGGGCGTCTGTTCTCCATCTGTGCATCTGTCTGTCTATCCATGCGTCCCCCTCTCCAACACATCCATCAATCTCTCCATCCATCCATCCCTCGTACACATCTGCTTCTCCATCCAGCCATCTGTCCATCCCCCGGAGCTGTCAATCTGTCCGTCTCTGCCTCCCCCACGTGGAGCTGCCTGCCCCGGGGGCTTTGCCTCCGGACTATCACAGACCCCCCCCGGCACGGTGCTGCCTCCTCTGCTGGGGACCCCGTGGGATGGGTCGGCCGGTGCCAGGCACCCAGCGAGCAGCACGCTGTGTGGGCACCCCCAGCACCTCTCCCCCAGCACCCATGTGCCCGGTGCTGCAGCGATGCCAAGACGCCCGGGCCCGGCAGAAGCACCGCGCCGAGGACAGCAGTGCCCGCGGGCACCGTCCCCGCCACGCGGGCTCTGGGGGAGGAGGACACCCTCCCAAAACACTGCACAGCTCCTTCCCAGTGCCCAGGTGCAGAAAGACATCCCCTGCCTCAACCTGCTGCCATGCATGGACGTGTCCCTCGGGCCCTGGCGCCACGGTGAGGGGCAGAGTGAGAAACCTGTGTGATGGAGGATGGGATGGATGTTTTGCCATTTAAGCCGTCAGGTCCCTCGTGCACCCGGGTTTCATTTCACGCCGCCTTCAGGAAGCAAACCTCCGCTCCTGGTTTGGGTACGGCAGCGGGTCTGCACACCGGTCACGCAGCCCTCCCTGAGGCTGGCGGGCACCGCAGCGGTCGGTGCACCAGCGTGGCAGGGTTCACCCTCTTGCCACGGGCCGTAGCCACCAGGACGGGCTCAGCCCATGACTCCCCAGGGAGAGGTGAGCCAGAGATCTCAGCACCCTGCGGCTGCTCTTGGCACCTGCCCACGAATCAGCCCGGTCACAGGGAGAGGATTCTCAGGGCACCCAGCGCCTCGCCGAGCCCCCAGCCGGGCAGCGCTGCCCACTGGCATCCCTCCTGCCTGCGCTCTCCCAGCATGTCGGCAGCTGCCGGCGCACCGCAGCCGTGCCTCTGCCCTGCTCCGGTATGTGGCCGGCGCGCAGGATGCATGCGCAACACGTTCACGTGCCGCTCAGCGAAGCCGCAAGGCCCCGGGCAACGTGCGCACGCAGCTGCCACCGGCCCCACGGCAGAGCAGACCCCACGGCACCCTCGGGCGAGCTCCCCGTGCCAGTCGGGGCTGCCACCCGTACCCGCTCCGGGACGGCTGCAAGCAGGAACTCGCGGTGGAGGGAGAATTTGGCAAGTGAAGGCACTCCTTCCCCCAGTGCTGGGCTATTTTTGGCCAAGGATTTCCGGAGAGGCGTGTGGTTTCTCTGCCTAGTGGTCCCAACCACATTTCTCCTCCCGAGGAGCGCCTGGACCCCCTGAGGACTTTCTGCCCCCACGCCCGAGTCCCACGGGATTTCCATCCATTGCCCTCCCCATTTCAAACCCTGCTCCCGATGGCCTCGCGCGGCCCCTCGACCCCGGCGGGGCTGGCGTCTGCTCAGCCCCTGCTCCAGGTCATCTCTGTCCCAAAACGCGAGCCCTGCAGTCCTGGCCATGCCTGTCCCCCGCGGCCCCCGGGCATCTGGGGCTGCTCCCTGCACCCCCCGCAGCCCCAGCAGCTCCCAGGCATCGCCACCCACCCCGGTGGCAGCCCCAGCCCCACCTCACCCGGGCGCAGAACCTTTCCCGGCACTCTCC